TTTTTTTTTTTTTTTCAAATTTACACATCCATGCCATTGTGTACTTGGTCTTGCGGTAACATCATCTAACTGAAACCTACACACATTTGATCAATGACTTAACTTGGTGATTACAATATTTGTAAGTAATACAAATTTCTGTCTGATATTGCACCTGAGATGACTTATTTGGTTCAGTTGATTCCTTTTGTGTTTTAGGAATATGGTTTCTCACTTATGAGAGTCAAATTTATGTATTTGCAGGAAGACTGATTCAATTGAGCGTGCCTATGCCCGCAATGTCGACTATGACACGAAAAGAAGGTACATGCTTGTAAGTATGCTGCTACTTGATAAATGTGTCATTAAGTTTTACTACTTTAGCTTGTGAATTTGATTACTCAGTTTCGGTCCTTGTGAAAAATGTTGGTTACTTCGTTGTGGCTTATTTAGATTCTAGACCTGCCGTTTTTTGTCGTAGAAAAGTTAGGTGCCCATATGTTGGCCATCATCTACCTCTGCCACTTTCAGCAATCCCATTGTGAAACAGTAACACCACTCGCTTTTAGCCAAGAACACCTGCCCGTGAGGTTCTTTGCTTAACTATTAAACCCTCCTTCAACATATATAATAAAAAACTGCATATACTATAGAAGCTAATTGCTCACCTTATTCAAGAATATAATCTTGCTTTCTTGCTTTATTTTTGTGCATTGGGATGGAGCGAAAGGATGGAAATATCAATATCAATATGCCTAAAGGAAATTAGAGGTCTATTTGAGAAAGGAAAATATAAAGACAACAAAAATGATGAAAAAGTGAAGATACAAACACTAACCTTGTGAATCCATTTTTCCGCTTTTTCTCTTCACTTCAATAAATAAAGATTTTTTTTTTTCGGACCATGCCTACTCATTCGGTAGCTTATTCTATCCATTGTGCCAATCCTTCCTGTATCTTTGAGTTAGGATTGAAGGGCAGACTAATATGGTTCCCATGGCATTTTTTCCTAACTGCTTTAAGGTGATGCAAAGTCCTCTAACAAAGGACAATATGTTATTCAAAATATGAAAAGAAGGAAATGTATGTTGAGAAGCAAGCATCGCGTTAGTTTAACTGATTGCAGTTAAGTTGCAGTGGGCTGCTTTCTGGGAATTCATCATTGATATTTTGGGTTGGTTTATTGTTTTTATTACAAATTAGACCTTTTCCTTAGGATTCAGTAAACCTGTCTAAGTGTCATTTAGTTTGGCAATCCGGTGGATGAGGAATTACCTAATTAAGGTCCAGAGTTGTAGCCAAAGGATCTTGTGCTTTAAGAATTAGAAGCATGGTAATCGTGTGCTAGTCACTTGGCTGGTTTCTGCTGCCTGAATGGATAGAAAGGGACTGAAAAGTTGCCTTTCATGTGATTTTTGCCAACCAGTTGTCATGCCTGTCAATACTCCGCCATCGTAAAAATGTCATATATCCAATACCATTTGTAATAGCCTTGATCGTACTGCAGGTTGATATTGGAATTAAAATAAATAATTGGTAATTAGGAGCAGTAAGTTGATGTACTGCACCTCTTGAGATCCTTTTTAAGTTAGCAGCAAATTAGTCATTACCATTCACCCTGAAGGGTCCTCTCTCCCTTCTAATATGAACCCATGAGTGCTGGTTGACATTTCTCAGGTAACTGCTGAAGATGAGTATGGCATTCACATATGGGACCTTAGAAAGTTGAAATTTCCAGTTGCTGATCTTCCTGGTCATTCACACTGGTATAGTTACCACATGATTTATTTTGATCCTGGCTATTTTCTATGAGGTCAATGATAAACACATTTCATATGGTTGTGGTTTTTGTTTATTTTATTTCAATTTTTCATTGTTTTCAGTTTTTTTTTAATAGCTTTATTTGTTTTACCGTTTTGTTTCCTTTTATCAGGAGTCCATACATCTAGCAGTCTAAATTTTTTATATGACTAGTAAAGTGCACGTGGTGGTAGGTAAACTTTTTTTAATGATTATTTTTGTAGTAAAAATTAATTAGATTATTAATCATGTCAATGACAGAAGAAAATAAAAAAAATAATGTAAATTTGTAATATAAAGAGATTGGAATAACATATTGAGGTACCAATGCAAAATAGATGGAAAACAATGAGTTTCTGCTATAAATAAAAATAAAAGTAGCTAAAGAGAAAAAATAATATCTAATATAAATGTGTTTATGTTGATTACTGAATAAGAGATTTTCTTTCCTTTTAATTTTAAAGTTTTCCTCACTCATTTTTTTTAAGGTTGGAGATTATCTCACGATTTTCAATTTCAACGCCATTAATATAAGTTATTCATATAAATAATATTTAATATCATACTTTTCAATTATAGGTGTTATATTTAATTTTGAGCATTGTATTAGTTACCTTTATCCAAATTCTAAAACAGAAGTTTGATGAATAATGTAAATATAGATAGTTCAGTCGTATATATTAATCACTATTTAGATAATTGTCATTGTATAAGTATAAAGAAAAATATATTTTTATGTGATATAACTTGGTTACTACTTGAATCAAATAATAGAAGTGGTAGATTTCTTAATGGTATGTCTATTGACAAGTAATTTGTTCATTCTGAGCCACAACTTCTCTTGACTGAACTTATCAAAATAATTTGTTGTATTGTGGTTAGAAATGCTGGTTAAAACTTGTAGGAAGTTCCTACAAATAATGACCACTTTTAAAGTAAATACTTTTAATTTCTCATTATACTTTGATTAAATTAAAAGTCCATATTTCTTATCGTCATCGTCTTCATTGTGTCTTATGCAGTAACTTAATTCTTCACTTGTTTTAATATTAGGCATTTATTTCCTTCCTTCACATCCATGTGTACTTATAATTTTTGACTATTTTTAAGAGTTACATATGATATTTTGTAAGAATGGGACAAGAAATATATTAAAATTATATATAAAAAATTATAAAAAAATGAACAAATTTGATATTAAGTATAAAAATAATAAAAATGGTATTAGTAATAAAAATGGTATAGTTTTTCTTAAATAGATCAATTAAAAAATGAAAAGATAAAAGGTATGAACGTAATATAAATATTAAATAAAAATAAATTCATTAATATAATTCATATACATTATGTTTAAGTCCATAAAACTATCATAAATTATATTTAAAATTGAATTGCAAATAAACATCCAATATTCAATGTTAATAGAATTTGGATTGAAAAAAAATTATTTTATTTTCGTACGGCATATGAGACATTATTAATTCAAGGTCTCATTTTCAAATCATTTTTTTAAAAGAAAATTAAATTAATATACTCTTCTATCACAAATTTTGGTATACAATAATAAATTATAACTTAATCAAACTTAAATATTAAATGTTTGAAAATTGGCCTTTATAAAGTAAGTCATTCACAAAATTTGGAGAGAATTATTTATTTACAGAGTAATGCTACAAGTACATAACATTGTACATAAGGGTGTACATAATACTCACATTGAGTGGGACCCACCAAAAATAAAAAATCAAGTGGACCTCACTCCATGTGAGTGTTATGTACATCTCTATGTACATTTTATTATGTACTTGTACATTTTATTATGTACTTGTAGCATTTTTCTTATTTAAAGGTGATATATTTTCAAATATAAATAATTATCACAATATTGGATTATGAACCATATACCGATTAAATAAATAATAAATAATAATTATAAATATTAATTATCATATAATTAATAATTATAATAATTAATAGTAATTAGTAATTATCATATACCGATTTTTCCATTATAAATAATAATTATACTTTAGTAAGATTAAATATTCTCACTTGTCGGAAACAAACTTTATATGTAGTATATGCGTATCTCACAATATCGGAAGTGAATAATTTATTTGGACATAATATATTTAAAAAAATCTCATATTTTATTTAATAAGTAACTATCTTTAAATTGGTTATTGTTTATGGGTACATCTTATCACTTGCGAATTTTCTCACATATAAACTATTAGCGTTGAAATCTTTTAAATTAAATTATATTTTAAATTAATGATATTTTGCAACTGAAAGATACTTTTATGAGGTACAAAAGATTTTAACCACTTATACTTAGTATTAATTGACGAAATATCTTTTGAAATAAGAGAGGTTTGTGATTCTCTTTCATCATTACTATCTAGCATGTAATTAATTTTTTCTTTCAAACAAATAATTTATAAAAAAAATGACAATTTCCGATTCTTAATGAACTGACCCATTAGACCCGAATCTCCGAACCGAATTTTGGCTCGGTTCGGAACGGAGATATATTGGAACCGGTTCCAATTTTTGGGATCTCCAAAGTTCGTTTTGGTTCCGAAGATTTCTGAGACTCCAAACAGAACAAACCCGTGCTCAGTCCTAGTCATTATCCACGATATACTCATTCAATTTCCAACTTAAATTATAGGCCAAAATACAAAATCCAAGCAGAAATATGTATTAAATTGTAATAATTTGTAAATAAAATTATTATCTGTTATATAATTATATATGTAAATATCAAATTTTGAATCAGTTCAGAAATACTAAGATAATGTTCGTAGTTGAGTTCTCGGCATGAATATTAAATATTACGTTGGTGTCATATGATTGAAAAATGTATTTTTAATTAATCGACAGTGTGCAAGTAAATGTTAAATCCAATAACAAAATTAATTAAGTAGGTAAAGTTGATTTTTACATAGTGGAATAAATTTATATTAGCCTATACTCATATGCTTATTCTAAGTATCTTTCATATATTATTTTAACTTTTATAGAATTTGTAAATAACCACATGAGATGAGCATTATATTTTTGTTACTTATGTTTCGTTTTTATTGAAAATATTATATTATAAATTATCTAAGTTATTTATAAATCATGTTCGGAGTCATTCTGTGTTTCATGGGATTTTTTATATAAGATTAGAGTCCTATAACAAGCCAAACTATTTATTTTTTAATTGTTTTATCTTTAAGTAATTATAATACAATTTTGCCATCAAATTTTTATTATGCACGAGGACTTTTTTAGTCAATTAATTTTTTTACAAAGTCACTCCTCCTTTTATTATAGTATAGATAGATAGATAGATAGATTGCATAATTTTCCATTTGAAATTAATAATGAATCATTACCACACAATTTTTCCAATGCAAGTTTTAAATTAGTAATGAATCATTACTACACAATTCTCTACAAAATATTCATCCATCCACAGCGTATTTGTAACTACCAATCTCTATTTTACTATTTCTCTATCGCGTGTCGCATCAAAATTAATTATTACTCTTTATATCGCATCATTTACATCAGTTATGTTATTAGTTTTTGCGCATATATTTTTTCTGTTATGTACTGCTTTTATAGTTACTTTTTTGTTGCTAGAGTAAGATGCAAAAAATGTTTAATTAGTTCCGTGAATTAATAAGTTTGCTATTGTTGATAGGACATGGGCTGTTAAATGTAATCCAATGTATGAGGGCCTTATTCTGGTACTCTCTCTACCTCCCCCTTTTTCCCCCCTCTTCCTGTACTTGAGAACAACTTAACATCATTGTTCTATACTTCTTAAAGAAGGGAAGTTTTTGTTGCCTCGGCAGTCACCAAAGAAAAACTTGAGAAGCACTCATAGCCATGATCTTGTGACTTCATGTAGGCTGTAGCACATTGTTTTCTGATTAAAATATATTAAGAACAAGTCAAAGCTTTTTTTTTTTTTTAAAAAATTTTTTATTTTGTCTTTTATACTTATGATGCAAAAACTTTTGTAGAGTGCTGGAACTGACTCAGCTGTAAATTTATGGTTGGCCTCTCTACCAAACAATGATGGCTCGGTCTCAGATAGGTCTACAATTCATTTTCGTTGATGTACTGTGTTGCTGTTATCATTACTGTATATTGATGTCTAGTGACTATCCTTGTTTTACCAGTTTGGTGGAGTCACAAGCCAAGGCTCCCGAGACGTTGCTCAATTCATACAATGACTATGAAGACAGTGTTTATGGTGAATTTTCTTAATTGATGCATTCTGACTCTTTTCAGCTCTGCAGCTGGAGTTAAGTTTGCGGCTTTTGTTTTGTTCAGGTCTTGCTTGGAGTTCTCGGGAACCATGGATATTTGCTTCATTGTCTTACGATGGAAGTGTAAGTATTTAATCTTCTATGCCATCAGTTGTTTGGTAGTCCGTGTTATATACAGAGTCCAAAAATTTTGTTCCCCTGTAAGTCCTGATTGAAGATCTGATAGATTAAGCATTTCTTTGTGCATGATACAACTAAGTTAATGCTAGGTTATATACTAACCATTTGTAATAATTCTAATGATTGTTCAAAACTTCATGGTTATGGCTCAAAATTATGTTCATACTAAATCAGCATTCCTGGATAAGTGTAACGAATTCAGAGTTTTCAGAATCGAAATGCCACCCAGATTGGTTGAGATTGCTATTTTGAGTTCCGACTCATTACAATATGATATCTTGCTTCCACTAACACTTCTTTTTGTTCTTTGTACAGGTGGTTGTGGAATCAATAAAACCTCATCTTTCTAGAAAATGAAACTGAATGATATGTAGTAAGTGAAATTCTTGCGCAAAATTATCTTGTGCTGATCTCTGATACTCGAGGAAATACTTTAGAAACCTGAACCTTCTGAGACAGATATTACACTACGGAAAAGCATACTCTGTCGTTGAAGATGTATTTGCATGTTTTGACCTTTGTTTAGTTTGTAAGATGGATTTCTTTGTTTGTGTTTCAAAATATTACTTGTCCCGATTCACCCCTTTACCGGCAACTGATTGGTGCTGTCTTGG